GTACTTAAAACCAACATTGGTTAAACTTTTCTAGATGGGGTGCTCAGAGATCTGGTTTAGTAGTGGACAGGTACAGTTGGACTCAATCTCAAAGGTCTTTTCCAACCAGGCAATGTTATGATTCTGTGATTCTTTTCCCTTGGGCTCTCAAGACACCACTCACAATGTGCCTGCCACATCGTAATGCCTACAAGAGTTACCATTATGAATAAAGTGGGCAATGTGCTCTGCCATCATGGTTAGACCCAAGTTGTACATCAAGCCACTAATGTGAATCAGAATACACAAAACAGATTTTACTCCAGGCTGTGGCTAAAAAAGAAGGAATGCAAGAAAAAAAAAATCAAAATCAAATTCTGAGTCAAACAATGGTGTTATTTTAACAACTTTGGCCTCATCACACCAGATTCACAGATGCCTCCACGTAGGATTGAAGCAAATAGGGTCAGCACCAACTTGGACTTCCCAACCATCCCCACAGCTTTGAGCAGCCCTCACATTCACATACAATTACTCAGTTAAACCATGCTCAGCCACACACTTGCAGCACTTCCAAGCACAGCTACTGCTTTTTTAAACTTTTTTTAACCCTTTCAAGATGTGCAGCTTATACTGACAGAACTGGAGTCTGTAGGAAGAGACAGAGGATGTGATACCAGCAGGATATGGACCTGCTTTTCCTTTCCTAATGCTCCCCAGAGGCAAACAGGTAATAACAGAAAAAGCAAAAAACACAAACCCTGCTCTCTCCATTAATGAGAAACTATTTAGTCTACGTACTTTAAAGAGGAGGGGGAAAACACCCCTGTGTCAAATGCATCCAACATCATTAAGCTCACGTCAGCATCGAACAAACATCGCTCTCCCAGCTTTGAAAAAGTGACCAACTTTCAGTGTTTACGCAGCCACTGAGCTAAAGGGGTATCAGGCTAATTCCAACCTGCCAGCAGCCCATGAAAGGGCTGTCCTGCTATGCACATTCATCACTCTCCAAGAAATAATCCTTTGAACAAGTCCCAAGGCTAAAAAAGCTGCAGTGGCTGTAGGAAAAAAAAAGAGTAAGCAAAAAAAATGATGAGAGTTTCTCTGCCCTTTAGCAAGAGGCTGATGGATTTCAGACCTGTCCCAACCTTGGTTCTGTTAGCAGAGTTCATCTCCTCTTGCCCATCTCCCATCTTATCATCACAGATCATCCATCACTCACCCTAAACTGAAAGGTTTCACTTTGGCCTGTGACAGGCAAATTGTCTCACAGAAGCAAGGGTCAGGCACTGCCCCTTCCCAACAGGGCAGGGAATGGAAAAGCTCAGGGACAGGAAGAAATATGACATCACCCTCAAAATATGAGCTGTGACGGGAAAAGATCTGTCTGAGCGTATATATATAAAGCCAAGTGGTTTATGGTGATGGAAAATTTCATCCTATACTACTTATCTGCAGCATTTCCAAACTGGGAAATGGAGGTATGTATGTTGGCCAATAAAAATAAACTCTGCTCAAGGGCTATCACATTGCTTTTAAAAGAGTGTGAACTCTCTGCCTGTCAGATTTTAGGAAGTAAGGCCAGATTTGAGCAAATGTTAATTTACACAACCCCTCTGAGCTGGAGCCCCATCAAAATGAAATCAGATATTTTCTTATACCTGTTGGTTTTCCACCTTAAATTGTAGCAGCACTTGGCAGCCTTAGAGAACTTTACACTAAAGGGTCTTTAAGACACTTTCTAAATGATTCATTTTAAATGGTCTGTCCCTGCCAGTGGGAACACACAGAGATCCCTGTGACAGGCAAAGGAAATCCCAGTGTGATGGCACATGTATGGTGATGGGGTCACCAGGCTGCACAGGGCACCTATTTCTCCTGAACGCTTGCAAAAGAAAAGCAGAATAAAACTGCTGCTCCTACCCCACTGCAGCTCACACCCTGACACATGAACCTACCCTGAAGTCAGAGCTTGCTCCTGTTTATCTGCTGGCTGTAAAAACATCAGTTTTTACAAACAGTCAGATCCATTGGGGAATTATTAGAGTTGGCTGGGGGAAAGCATCGTTGGAAGGTGCAATGGAATACATAAGCTCTCTGTACAGCATCTTAAACCAGGCTTCTTTTGAATAAAGCCTGGTTTTAAAAGCAGCTTAAGGGCAAACAAATATCTTCCACTGGGAATCTCAGTGGGAAATTTGTACTGGTTTAGCTTCGTCAGTGAGACTGGTGAAGAGACTTGACCACAGCATTGCTGCTCAGCAGAAAATTCCAGGCCCCTCAACCACTGATCTCATTCCAAAGAGAAAACATCACTTGGGTAAAGCTTTGGGCTACAGACTAAAGAACCCAGCAGCTTACAAAAGGATGATGTTTCCTCTGATGAATGTGAGGTATGATACACAGAATTCCCAGGCATGTTAGAGAGGGCAAAGACTTTCAACTTGCGTTCACACAAGCCTTTTGACCTCCCTGTTTTTGGAGTTTATGACCCTATGAGTAACCCTGCTCATCATCTTTGACTCAAACTATGTCACGCCAGCTGTTAACGAGATGAAGCAAAGATTAAGAAGAAGGGGAAAGCTGATTTTTGAGTTTAAACATTTGACAGCTAGCTGTGACTGAAAAGTACTTCCACGATGGCATCTTAAAAATGTCTAGCACATCACCTTTAGCCTTAATCCTGCTGCAATGAAACCAGGAGAAAAAGAATCCTTCAGCTGCCAGTGATCTCACAGGGATATAAGAAAAATCAGCTTGGTTTTGCAGAGTAGAAGCAACACTATGGTATTGAGTTGTTCATAGAATTCAGGTAGTGATAGGGAGGGGAAAAGCACAGACAGACCTGGGGGTGACAGCAGCCACTGCCCAGTAAAATGAAACACTTTCTCTACCACCAGTGCAAATTCACAGGGGCAGCTCTCAGATTAGTGCAGGTACTTGGAAATAAAATTATTTTATTAAATTATTTAAATTATTATTTTTTCCATTTTACTTTTTCCCCCCAACCAGTTCAGTGTCTTTAGTCACCAGTTCCCCTTAGTAATTGGTGTGAATGCTGTTACTTGTCACATCAGTGGATGCCTTCATCCATACATAGCTTCCAAGAGTCGCCAGGACATGGGGAATATGACTTCTCTTACACCTATTTCTCCTGAGGGACCTTGTTGATGAGTCAGGCTTCTGCTACATAAACTGCTTCAATCTCATGATTCATTTCACTGTGGAAGCTTAAGCACCCACACAGCATCACATAAGCTAGCCCTCAATTACCCAATGTGTTCAACTCATTAGTCCATGTCCAGTGCTTAGTTAATGGAAAAGCAGAGCCCTCCAAAGCTTTTATGATTAATATCTGAAGCACCTCAGAGTGAAGTGACCTCCGTCTAGACTAAAGCATCTTTTCTTCCAGGCTTCTGTTTTGAGGATTCACTGTGGCTTTGGGGAGGAGGCACACATCTGCCAAAGCCATCACTGATGTTCCATGATCTCGCCTTGTTCCCTGAGCAACAACAGTGCCATTGATGGATGCAGTTTGAGATCCCTCTAGAAAGCCTCCTCTCCCTCCACAGCAGAGGGAAGCAAGGTCAAGGCAAGGAAGAGAATTTCAATTCTCATATCCTATATTTACACCCTCACAGAGGAGCCTTCCATGAGAGTGCTGAATGCTGCCTGCTCATCCATACAATGTTCTTTCTAAAGCCACAGCAGGGCCATGAAAGGTTTGACCGAGCAGATTATCTTCCCTAATCAAACATGCTGCTCTGCATTAACCCCCCAATGGAAAAATCTGGTAGAAGAAAACACTCGGAGATCCTTTCTAAATCAGTGGCTATGAAGTAACTGCTAGAATAATTTAATTTTAAAGTTATAAAGAAGAATGTAACCATTGTTTCAGATCATGAACAAAGCCAAGATTCAGCCATGGAAATCACACTGTGGTTGGTGATACATCCTGGATTCCCTGTCTGCTTAAAACAAGATTTGACTGTGGTTACTTGGATAGGTTTTTTGATAAATTTTGACCAAAGGTAACCACTGAATTCACATACTGAAACATCAGAGCATCCAAAACAAGGGAGATGTTAGCTGAGTCACCACAAATCTTTTCCAACCTGAAAAGCTCAAGGAAAAAAAAAACCCACCCACTTTTTTTTTTATTATTATTAATTTGGAGAGTTCAGCTCCACTTCTTTCCAGCCCAGCATTCCCTTGGCTCTTTATTCTGCAAAAATTTAACAAGTCCACTGGAAGATGATTCAAGCATTTTGCTTCTGTCATTCCCCCAAGAGTCTCAGCCTCAGCATAGCAGCCTAATCCAGTCACAATCCAGACCCTCTCCTCTAGTGACCAGCCCACGTTTTCCTCTCTTCAATTCCTTTCATCACTTCCAGGACTGATCCCCCATTCCCACAAATATTTCCATACAGTTATCATGGTTATTTCATCATTGCTTAGCCAAACTCTGCAAAAATCTCTTTATACCTTTCCTTATAAATCCACCCATTTCAAACCATGGTTGCAAGTCATAGTCACCTCCAAATCCAAGCCTCCCTGCTGACCCTCACTGTTATACCAGAGACCTCCAAATTGCTCCCAGTACCAAAAGGGAGGCAGGAAGGGAAAAAAAACCTCAGCAATTTAGTACTATGGACAAAGTCACCCAGGTGTAAGGTCCCTGAATACACATCACATACCCTGTCTCTCCAAATACATTCTTAGACATACAAACCACTTTTCAATCCTGAAAATTCATTGTGGAACATGAGTAAAACATTTTCTCCTTACTTCTTCTTATGTTATTAAAACAAATTCAAATTTTTACAATATGTATAATGCTCTGAACAGCTGAAATTCAAATCTGAAAGTTGCATCTTTAGCCAGCATCTAGAAGCACTGTCAAGAGTTTGCTTTAACCACAGCACGTGGAGCTGGGATAACCTCTAATGTGTAGCAGCAGACACCCCTGTCTGCAGAAGGCTCTTTGATCAGCTATTTGTAGTTTAAAATACATTTACCTCTATTTGGTTAAGCAATGAGTTGTCAAACTTGAAGCCAGGGATTCTTTTTTCACTGCAGACCACTCCAACATCTTCAGTGTGTTTGCAGTCAGTTACTCCCCAGCCATTTGATGTACATGCTGCCAGGGTGGTCTCCTTGCCATTACAGTGGACATTGTCCATCCAAATTTTCCCTGAAGGGGAAAGAAAAAAGAACTGAGACTCAAAGAGGAGAAATTTAGATTGTACTGAGAGATGTGAAGGAAGCAACTAAGGCTGCTGTGCTCTTGCTACATCAGGGGAAGAGATTTCTGCTAAAATAAGCTTGAATCAACAGCTAAGGAACATCAAGATCCACCTCAGGTATGGTACTTCCTAACTGCAAACAGCTTTGCCCCTCTGCTTTCCCTTTTAATTATCTACATGCTGATAAGAAAAATACCAGCAGCCTGAAGCAGACCTGTGCTGCAGTCCTGCTCATGGTGGTAAATCATCTCCTCTGATGACAGCCACTTCAGAGCACCCAGTGTCACCAGGTCCCCTCGATTTAGCTGATTAGACCCTGCCCTCTAATCATACTCACCAAATCATTCCTTCTGTATTTAAGGCTTCTCTTTACATCATTTCTCATTCATCAAATCCTCATTAAATCTTTTGTCAGAGACAGCTCCAAATTTTGATTAAATGCCTTAACTTTTCAAATGCAGATTTATTTATTTATTTTTATTTTTAAAAATCTTTAACAAAGCACTATTGATTGGAAACCCCAATTTAGGTGTTATTTAGGTGTTCTTTGAAAACCAATTACCTGATCCAGTTTCTAGACTGTAATTACCGCTTCTCCTCCAGCAAAAACTGTGTGCACATGAGTATACATGTGTACATGCATATATATTATATTTTAAACAAATCAGGTCCTTCAGAACTCGCTTCTAAGATGAACAGACAAAAATCAACAGGTGTCACCACCAAACTTTAGGTTATGTTTTTCGAGGAGCAGCTGAAAGCAAAAGACCCAACAGCATCTCCACGATTCCCCTTTACAAAGGGCCAATTTCCCTTTGGAAACATGCTGGGCACATGCTGCTCCCTGGGATTTGCCCCCTACATTGCAGGGAACAAGGGCCAACAAGCAATTCCCATATTTTAGGATCCCAGATGTTTTGTTTGTCTGAAGAATAACATGTCATTTGGGCAGAAAGAACTGCCTGACCTTCAGAGCCACTGGGAGATTCTGTAGCTATCTCCTTTGGCTGTCCCAGCTTTGTTCCAGCAGGTTCAGCTGGTCAATCACCAGATGATTCACCTGGAAGTGTTTAAGGCCAGGCTGGATGAGGCTTTGGGCAACCTGGTCTAGTGGAAGGTGTCCCTGCTGCTGGCAGGGGGGTTGGAACTGGATGAGCTTTAAGGTCCCTTCCAATCCAAACCATTCTATGATGGATCTGCCAGCCCTCTCCCTGCTCTCCAAACAGGAGAGTAGAAAGAGCTCCTGCAAAGCCTGGCTCTAGGGTTTGGGGAAGGCACAACCACCCCAGCATGGGTTCCCTGCATCAGGATTTACCCAGCACTATCCTGGCATGCAGAGAACATTCACTCTTGTTAAATCACATGGCATGAGTTTTTAGTTTGTTTTCAAATGTCACGGACTCTTTCTCACTCAGGAATCTCCTACTCTACCCCCAAGAGCCAAAATCCACAGCTTGGGACAACATTCAAGGTTTCACATTTCAGTCAAGTCACTGCTAAGGTCTGCTTGCTCTTTTACAGGCAAAGTTTATAAGTGTGAGCACTAATGAGTGGTGCTAAATAACAGACATCCAGCACGTTTATCCCTGCTGCAGTGGAAATAATCTGTCTGTGAGTTCCCATCAACAGTGTGCCAGGCTTCAATGTTTGCAGGAAAAATTCTCCATAGGTCAACATTTAACTAACAGCATATCAAAAAATGACAATTAAATCTGTTGAGTTCTGATCTGTTAGGTACAATTACAGAGCTATTCTCTCAAGCATTGGGATTTTAACAATTCATTGCTATAACACACAAACATTCCCCTTTCCAAGCCTTTTTTTTCAGCACATATTTGGGAATGAGATGCAATCTGCAATTATCCACACACCCATCACGTTTAATTGCAAAAAGTAAGAAAGGATGTACAACTTGGGGTGAGGGTGAGGAGTTTTTTCTGCACCAGGAACAGCCTGAGAGTGTCCAAGAGGATTATTATAAATATAGTCCTACCCAGGACACGAAGCATGCATACTCCTTTGGGGTTTTATAGGCTACTCTGCACTGCAGAATATGATGTGTGTGTTTCTAGAGAGGCTAACAGGGCAAAAGACCTGCGTAGCATCACATA